GACCGAGAACAATGTGCACTGTGATATTTGTACAGACGGCGTCTGGCTGTGATAAATAAATAGGCATTATTCCATTCACGATATTCATTATTTCTTGATACCTTGATAAGTTCCCCCGCAACGGTGGCTCAGTGGCTAAGGCGTAGCGCTGCTGTGCACTAGGGCGCAGTTTCGATACTCGGCTGCGGCGGCCGCATTTCTGATGGAGGCGAAAAGCAAAAACGCCCGTGTGTACGAGATTTCGGCACACAATAAAGATTCCCAGGTAGTAAAACTTGATCCTGAGCTCTCCCCTACGGCGCGCTTCATCGCCTGCGTTGCGTCGGCGTGTTAAACCATACAATCAATGGATACCTTGATAAATCGTGCGGACATGGTGTCAAGGAACCTCGCCCGAGTCGGTAGGCGTGAAAGGCGCTCGCGGCTGGCGCAGCCACCCAGCGAAGGGCGGCCGGCGCGATGTGACGTCGTCGACGTCACGTCACGTGACGCGCAGGCCTGAAAAGCTTCCGGGGGTGACGGTAATACCGAGTTTGGTCCATGTGAAGCTATCGAAACGGCCACGAGTTTATCATGAGCGTGGCATGTAGTCATGTTGTTACATGAGACACATCTCATGATTATCGTGTTTGCACCAGTCACATACCTTCGTCATCCATTCACGTACCATAATACCAAATCTGGTATATCTGACGCTATAGCTTGGCAAGTAGCCATGTTGTCACATGACACGCTTGCCGTGATTTTGATGTTACGGTTTTTCGCTTGTGTTCGCCATGCAATAATGTCATACCATACCAGTTTTCCAACATGCCATGTGAACGAAACCACCGCAAGAGCTGCAGGGCCATGAAATGTAAATCATGATATTCATGACATACATATCATGATTTTCATGTTTATCATGACTAGTCACATATGAGGGTGGCGATTTGGGCTTGTTGGTATGGTTGCATGATGATGGATGGTAGCGCAGACAACGAACACGGACAAGAGAAGGCACATAGACACAACACAGCGCTAACTTTCAACAACAGTTTATTACACGCAGATCTCCGTGGTGTATGCGATCCACCACGCCAACGTCGCACGTGCGTAGCTCTAAAAACCATCAAATATAACCAACGCGCGGAAAAATGTGGCACTAACGTAGTTTTCTCGGCACCCAATAAGTTGGTGAGTCTTTGCAGAAGCACAAGACCAGACAAGGGAAAATCAAATGTATGCCAAAAGAAACATAGAAACCTATTTGTGGAGTGCATCATGTGTGTTGTATACCTCATTCCACTTACTTGTGGAAAGTGTTATATCGGTCAGACCAGTAGATGCATAAACGATCGCTTGCGCGAGCACAATAACAAAGTAAATAGTGTTGTTCCTGATGGTTTTCTTTCCCTTCATTGCCAGAGATGTAAGTGCACACCGAAATTCAAGGAAACGGTTATAATCAATAGAAGTAGGCACGAGATGACGCGGTTGGTATTGGAGGCCGGCAGAATTGCAGAGCTAGGTGACACGTGTGTGAGCAGCCCATCAGTGGTGTTGACAGATAAGGAACTTGATTACATGTATTCGCGATAGGGTTTGTGGTAACATGGGATAAAAGGAAGAAAGAAAAAGTAAAAAAAGATTGAAAAATATAAAATTGTAAAGTATTGGAACACGCGCGTTGGTTATATTTGATGGTTTTTAGAGCTACGCACGTGCGACGTTGGCGTGGTGGATCGCATACACCACGGAGATCTGCGTGTAATAAACTGTTGTTGAAAGTTAGCGCTGTGTTGTGTCTATGTGCCTTCTCTTGTCCGTGTTCGTTGTCTGCGCTACCATCCATCATAGTCACATATGTTCTTCATACAGTCATGTTACGCCATACCAAGTTTCGTATCGATATCATTATCGAAACGGCCATAACTAAATGTCGTAGGCGGCTAGATAGATAGATAGATACGCGCAAAGTCGCCGAAGTTCGCTAAGAAATGCTTCGCATTTAAAAGCTGGACTGGATGCGGCTGAGCGGAGACTTGTTGTGAGGTGGTGACGCGCCGCTAGTCGGCAACATGGCATCGCCCGAGTCAGCCGTTGCTTCGACGCGTCCCCCAAACGCCATCCATCGAATGCGCGCGATTTTCTCAAGCTGGTGAGGCGGATAGTTTCGCGGCGAAGCAGATATAAAGGCTAACGCTTCGCGTCGAGTGCGGGGAGAGTTCAAGCGTGGATTCTCTCACGGCAAACGTACCCAGGTGAGCGAGCGAACGCTCTATCGGTGGAAAGCGCTAAAACAAAGTACGGCCGGAGTGCAACGCCCAAACAATCGTTCTTATAGAAAAGGCCATGATTGGACAAAGAAGCTGCATGATTTTGACGTGAGCGTCTTTAGATGGATGGTGGGCTTGTTATTTTTTAATGTGAATACACTTCATAGGCGACCCCAAACCATCCACCGCCGTCGGCGGCGTCCGCAGTCTTCTCTCTATCTTTGAAAGAAAGAGGACTTGGCGGGTCGCAGCGCGACGCTCTACCGAATAAGCCACGGACGCGACGCTGATATCGGTGTCAGTAACGCGCCTTATACCCCCTTCCCCTTCGCTCGCACCTCCGCTCTCCTCGCTCGCTGCAGCTGCGCGCGCACCCCTCTCTCTCGCGCGCCTGCCTTCTCTCTCAGTCTCCCGTCGGGAGCGGGTCGTGAGGGGGAGTAAAGTTAAAATCCGTTGGCATTCGCCAGTGAGTTAACGTAAACTCCCCCGTGTGATCAAATTGCGATTCCCAGGAACCATTACACCATAAAGACACCATAGTGTGATTAATAAATATAATAGAGTGAATTAATAAATACCCCTCATAGCATCACCCCGTTTATGCGCACTTAACCATGTTCACCCTCGGGGAAATGCTTGGGAGTTTTTTTAGGTAAAATTGTAACTATTGCACCATTGACAAGGTGGTGCAGCATTTTGAAGAGGAAGAAGCGCTATCGACCGTGTACACAACGATGATGCAGAGGATGCTGAAGCAGCCTGGCTTCAAGTGCAAGGAACGCTCTCGGAACGCTCTCGGAACGCTTTTCTCACTGAAGATGCGCACATTGTGCAATGATTCAAGTTGTGATCAGTACGATGAGATGTGAAACCTTTTAATGGAATCGCGGAAATAATTACGTCATACGTGCAGAACGAGATCATTTAGTATTATTGTAGTGAAAATAAAAATCAAGAAAATAAAAAAGAAGCAGTTTCTATTATGTCATGAAGTTAAGCTTTGTATTGAGTGATTCAATTGTCCTCTCGTTAATGGACTCAGTGAATCATTTTAATTGATTTTTTAAGGTATAAAGTAAATATTGTTTCCAATAACTGTTGCACTGACGCTTAAGAAAAGGTCAGATTTGACAAGAAGTCATAGGAACAGGCAACAATAAATATAAGTGTAAAAATCCAGGCCAGTTATTTTGGAAGGAACACTTGCCCGTCCAAAAATAAATAATATTGATCAATAAAGTACGAAGTGCCACCTTGTTGTTGATTGATTGATAGGTGGGGTTTAACGTTCCAAAACCACCATGTGATTATGAGAGACGTCGTAGTGGGGGCTCCGGAAATTCTGACCCCTTGGTGTTTGCTAACGTGCACATAGATCTGAGCACACGGGCCTCTAGCAATTCTGCCTCCATCGGAAATGCAGCAGCCGCAGCCGGGATTCAATCCCGTGACCTGCGGGTCATTAGCCGAGTACCTTAGCCACTAGACCATCACAGCGGGGAAAAAGCCACCTGTTACAAAATTAAAAACCAAATTAGTATAGTACACACTTCTCCGCACAGATGGAGTTACTTGTCGGATTTGTGGTGACGACATTCGCGTAAAAACAAAATAATATAGTGCGCTCTGTCACGATTGGCTGAGGTCACCCTTACCTTCTACAGCACTGCCAACAGCTTGTGAACCGGCAATGCAGTTTGCGAGATCTGATGGTAGCGCGAGAACACACAGCCTAGCGAGTAGACGCAGCAAAACCAAGACTTCCAATGCGTAGCCTAGCGAGCGGAGGCAGCAAAACCGGGCATGTACGTGCATACCATTTTCTTTTTTTAGTTGTGAGCGGGGGGATCACGGTTGATTATATAAGCGCTGGCAGGAAACGATCCTTGAAAACGTTCCAAAAGTACACTGACACTTCAGCGCGTCACTCTATTCAGCGAGAGTTTTGTTTTCTTGGCATCCCTGGTGGTCGATACCAACAATGCTGAGGCAGCCCAAAAAAGCTTCGTCGCTCCCCCTGGTCCACTTTCGGGTGCCTACGGCTAGCTTCGAGAAAATACATTTTCTGCCACCTCCACTTGTTTTATATAAAACAGGATTAATGCGCTTTAAATTATCTCTGTAATAGGTTTTCTTTGTCTTCACCAACGCTGTCTCTCGACGCGCATATTTCACAGTAGCTAACCTGAGAATGCGTGCCATCCAAGGACAGTGTCATTTACTACCGTAAGGAGCTTAGACTTGAAAACCAGAAGCCTAAACGTTTGTAGTTATTAAGTATTAGGTGGCCTATGAAATGCCAAAAGTAACTATCGGAGTCTGTGTTTACAAGAACAGAACGAAAAGTGTCACGTCATCACACATGACGTTGTAATGGCATGAAGGTGTCAAATTAGGGTGCTAAAAACTGTTAAGACGCGTGGCGTACCAAATATTTCCAAATTTCGCAACATTATCATGGCGTCATAAGACGCCACATGTCATTTCGCCACATGGTGACTTCACCACATGACACCATCACTTGGTGAAAGTGGGAGTGATCCTGGTAAAATCGCAAAGCTACGTGAAGTGCCGAAAGATTCAAGAGGTCGGGTTGGGGAGGTGATCAACACAATCGATTAAAAAAAAGCAGCTTTCGATATCGCGTCATCGTAGGTGAATGCAATATGGGATCCTCCCACCTTTTTTTTTTTGTTAGGAGAGAACAGTAGAGGTTGCGATGTAAACATTGCGTGATCTCACCGTACGCTGTAGAGGATGTGGCCATCGGGGAATATCCGGACGAGGCAGGTGGGCACGGTGATCTCTTGCACCCGGGCTGCCTTTACGTTGACAAATATGAGATCGGGCTTCCACAGCTGGCCGGCGATGTCTCCACCGTTGATAACGAACGTTTCGTTAACGCCCTGACGAAGCAGGCTCAGCCTTGGATCGAACCATCTCTCGCGCAGGTATAAATTCACCGGGTAGTCCTGTGACATGCGCACACGGCAAAACAGCCTCGACGATATGCAAGCAGCTAGGATAGAACGCTTTGCTAAATCAGGCAGCTATGAAGCATTAGTGGTGTAGCCGGACTTTCACAGCGTCTGCGTACAGTTTATGACGAAAGAACGTGGACTCGTTCAAATAATTGCGGGGTGCATTCGGTGCTAGACGCCAACACTGCTTAAAAAACCTCCCTCTAAAGTGGTCACACGAGTTATTTATTTATTTATTTACATTTCACCTACATCGCCGTGAGGCATTACGTAGGGGAGGTACACATAATAATTTGACTACATAGTTTACTATCGAAACAATAGATTCAACAAGTAAAACAGCACTCAAAATATTTTAAGAGAAGGAAAAAAAACACTCTAATATTGGTGAGCAAAAACAACGTCACAGTCATGAATTTGTAAACACCCACATGCTTCGAGACAGCTTTGTTATAAGAATTATCTTGTTATATTTACTCTCTTATTATTGCCACGTTCCATTTCCTAAGTTTTCGTTATCGTCCCAAAACACCACACGATTCTCAGCGCAAACCGCGCCTGCAGTTTTCGAGAAGGTTCCGGACTGTAGTAGATCATTTCGATAAGATCACGCTTACTGTGCGAACGGTACAGATTGTTCTGGAACCTACGCCACCGCCAGCGATAACGCTAGAACATTCATTCGACGGCAAGAGTATGAATGCCGACGCGCTTCGCCGCTTGTCAGTTGTTGATCGAAGGCCGACGCTGCGTTCGCCGCTATCAGTCGGAGACTGCTATCTGTGCAAGACTGCTGCTGTAATTAGACTTTCCCTTTACCGGGCACAGGTTCGCCCAAATAAACAGTTAAATCCCAACACGAAGTTTCCTGTCTTTGGCCACGTCACGACCCCGTGACATGTGGTGGAGGTGCTGCTTCGTTCATGTACCGGACGCCCCCGTCAAGCCGTGAACCCAGCCCCCGTCGCGGAGAAGACACCGACGCCAACCAAGAGCAGTGAACGAGCCGCCGACAGCAAGGTCTCCCACCGGAGTACGGCCTTCTACAAGACAAGGTGCGGAAGACCAAGACCATGACCTCGACTGCAGCGACAATGACAACCGGAGCGTCCCAGCCCGCGATCGTCATTCATCAACCCAGGGAACCACCAACGTTCCATGGCTCATCGTTTGAAGACCCGGAAACCTGGCTAGAAACATACGACCGTGTGGCCGCCCTCAACCACTGGGACAACGAAGAAAAGCTCCGTCGTGTGTACTTCTACCTGGAAGACGCCGCAAGGACCTGGCTAGAGAATCGGGAGTCCACGCTCCGAACGTGGGATGTCTTCTGCAGCGCATTTCTGCAAACGTTCGCAAGCGTCGCTCGCAAAGAGAGGGCCGCTGCTCTACTCGAGACCCGGGTTCAGCTACCAAATGAAAAGGTTGGAATTTTCACAGAGGAGATGACCCGCCTATTCCGTCACGCTGACCCAGCCATGCCTGAGGAAAAGAAAGTTCGTTTCCTCATGCGAGGGGTCAAACAGGAGCTCTTCGCGAAACTAATGAGGAATCCACCGAACACCGTCCAAGAATTTGTATCCGAGGCGACCACCATCGAAAAAACGCTGGACATGCGCACCAGACAGTATAATCGTCGCCTGACTCCAAAATGCGCTGCTGCTCAAGCCAGTGACTCCGGCGACCTGCGTGAAACGATCCGAGTGATCGTGCGGGAAGAGCTGCGCAAACTGTTGCTTTCGGCGCAGCCTCAAGTGGATTCGATCACCGACATTGTGCGAGAAGAAGTCCGGCAATCGCTTCGAATTCCCGAAACACCGCCGCCCGAGCCAGAAACTATGAGCTACGCCGCTGCAGTGCGCCACAACGCTCCTCCCCGTCCACGCCAAAACGCCGCCCCGTCACACTTCCGTCGCCAGACGCCACCGCCACCACCACCCCAACCGACGTCCTACCGTTCCCCAGCGGGCCAGCGCAGTGCACCGAGGAAAACGGACGTTTGGCGTGCACCTGACAACCGCCCGCTCTGCTACCACTGCGGCGAGGCCGGGCACACATACCGCCGTTGCCAGTACCGACAGATGGGACTGCGTGGCTTCGCAGTCAATGCACCGCGTCCGCAGCCAGAAGATCGGCCACGTGACATCGCCGACTACCTGGCAGGAACTCAATGGACACCACGAAGTCCTTCCCGTTCGCCGTCGCCCAGCCGCCGCATGTCACCGCACCCCCGGCAGTACTCTGGCCCAACGCGGGGCCGGTCTCCTAGCCCGTATCCGGGAAACTAAGGGCAGCAACCGATGGAGGTGCGGTTGCTGTGCGACGAACTACCGAAGATCCTCCTCCGACGACGACGACGCGACGGAGCTTTTTGAACACAACACCAACCAGGCAAAGCCCTGAAGGCAAAAGCTCACTTACCGAAGGTGGCCGGATGACGCAACATGGAAGCAGCGGAACAAGCCGACGCAGCCGTGACCCGACGCCACGCCCTAACTGTAATGCGAGACGGCGAACTAGCGACCTCGACGTTCTTATCGACGGCCACAGTGTGACTGCTCTCTTCGATACTGTTGCCGACTATTCTGTCATCAGTGGGTCGTTCGCCGCGAAGTTAAAGAAAGTTAGGACAGCTTGGAAAGGCCCTGAAATCCGCACAGCCGGAGGTCATCTCGTAACGCCTGCAGGAATCTGCACAGCGAGAGTATCCATTAACGGCCGTATTTATCCTACAGACTTCGTAGTCCTACAGCGTTGCTCGAGAGATGTCATCCTTGGCATGGACTTCTTATGCCTCCATGGTGCTGTCAGCAACCTAAAAACAAGGTCGATAACGTTATCCACAGAAGAAGCACTACCGCCGCGCACGCCGTCAGGACACCATGCCTTGAATGTGCTGGAAGAACAAGTCACCATTCCGCCTCGCTCAAGCGTCATTATTTAAGTCGGCGCTCCTAAATCACCTGACTTGGAAGGCGTCGTTGAAGGCAGTCAGCATCTGTTGGTCACCCGAAATATTTGCGTCGCAAGAGGAATTGCAGAGTTGCGGGGAGGGAAAGCGATAGTTATGCTCACGAATTTCAGCAATGAGTACAAACATGTGAACAAAGGAACAACGGTCGCATACATCGAAGAAATTGTCGAAGCCACCAGTGCTTTCGCCCTCGCCGATTCTGCGGAACCTGCTCAGAGGAACCAAGCCCCTCCCATACCTTTCGACGTCAATCCCAGACTTCCGAACGATAAGCAAGAACAGCTCAAGGCCCTGCTCCTGCAATACGAAGATTGCTTTTCGTCGTCATCGAAAATTCGGCAGACCCCAATCACGAAACATCGAATCATAACCGAAGAAAATGCCAGACCACTCCGTCAGAGTCCGTACAGGGTTTCGACGCGAGAACGTGAGGCAATGAAGAGACAAAATGATGAAATGCTGCGAGATGACATTATCCAGCCGTCCAAAAGTCCGTGGGCATCCCCCGTGGTGTAAGTGAAGAAAAAGGATGGGACCCTACGTTTCTGCGTCGATTATCGCCGCCTGAACAAAATCACAAGAAAGGACGTGTATCCTCTCCCACGAATAGACGACGCACTTGATCGGCTCCATAACGCCAAGTACTTCTCGTCAATGGAGCTCAAGACTGGCTATTGTCAAATCGAAGTCGACGAAAGAGACCGAGAGAAGACGGCGTTTATAACACCGGACGGCCTCTTCGAGTTTAAGGTGATGCGCTTCGGCCTTTGCTCAGCGCCTGCAACTTTTCAACGCGTTATGGATACAGTACTGGCAGACTTGCCTTGTGTACTTGGACGACGTCGTCGTGTTTTCCTCGAGTTTTGACGAGCATCTTCGGCGCCTTGAAGCTGTACTTCAAGCCATCAAGACTTCCGGACTCACACTGAAGCCAGAAAAGTGCAGATTTGCGTATGAGGAGCTCTTGTTTCTGGGGCACGTTATCAGCAAGTCTGGAGTTCGTCCCGATCCACGGAAAACAGCCGCCATCGCCGACTTCCCGCCGCCCACTGACAAGAAAGCCGTGCGCCGATTTCTGGGCCTGTGTGCCTATTATAGGCGGTTCGTGAAAAACTTCGCCCGCATCGCCGATCCTCTCACTAACCTTACCAAGGCCGACGTGGAGTTTAAGTGGGAAACGCCGCAGGAACACGCTTTCCAGGAGCTTAAACATCGCCTCCAGACGCCTCCGTTACTTGCCCATTTCGACGAATTCGCCGAGACAGAAATACATACTGACGCAAGCAGTGGAGGTCTTGGCGCCGTTCTTGTGCAGAGGGCTGACGGACTTGAAAGGGTTATTAGTTACGCCAGCCGATCGCTATCCAAGGCAGAAGCAAATTATTCCACAACAGAAAAGGAGTGCCTCGCCATCATCTGGGCTACGTCGAAATTTCGCCCCTACCTCTACGGCAGGCCCTTCAAAGTTGTGAGCGACCACCACGCATTGTGTTGGCTAGCCACCTTGAAAGACCCTTCAGGTCGCCTCGCACGGTGGAGCCTGAGACTTCAAGAATATGACATTACTGTCATTTACAAGTCCGGCAAAAAACACTCCGACGCCGACTGTCTCTCTCGTGCGCCTGTCGACCAACCGCTACCCGACGACCCGGATGACGACTTTTTCTTAGGAACGATAACTACCGATGACTTCGCTGAACGACAGAGGGCCGACCCGGAACTTAAGGCCCTAATAGAATACCTCGAAGGCAGGACCGCCGAAGTCCCGAAGGTATTCAAGCGCGCAATTGCGTCGTTCTTTCTACGAAACGGTCTTCTACTAAAGAAAAACTTTTCACCGCTTCGAGCCAAGTACCTCCTTGTGGTGCCTTCAGCTCTGCGACCAGAACTCCTGCAGGCCCTGCACGACGATCCGACGGCAGGGCACCTCGGTGTGTCTCGCACGCTCGCGAGGATACAAGAAAGGTACTAAGGTACTACTGGCCACGTCTTACCACCGACGTCACTCGTTAAGTGAGAACATGTCGGGACTGTCAGCGACGCAAGACACCGGCGACAAGGCCAGCGGGACTTCTGCAGCCAATTGATCCACCTTGCCGACCTTTCCAGCAGATGGGTATGGACCTACTGGAGCCGTTTCCGACGTCGGCTTTCGGAAACAGGTGGATCGTGGTAGCTACCGACTACCTCACCCGCTACGCCGAGACAAAAGCCCTGCCAAAAGGCAGTGCATCCGAGGTAGCTAAGTTCTTCGTCGAAAATATCGTCCTACGTCACGGCGCCCCGGATGTCCTTATCACCGACAGAGGAACGGCATTCACTGCCGACTTAACTCAAGCGATCTTGGCATACAGCCAAACAAACCACCGCCGGACGACAGCGTACCACCCACAGACCAACGGCCTCACCGAGCGGCTTAACAAGACGATCGCCGACATGCTGTCAATGTACGTCGGTGTCGAACACAAGACGTGGGACGCCATTCTTCCGTATGTGACCTTCGCATACAACACGGCGGTGCAGGAGACGACGCAGATATCTCCTTACAAATTGGTCTACGGAAGGAGCCCGGCAACGACGCTCGATGCCATGTTACTCATTGTCACCGACGAAGAAAACCTCGATGTGAGCGAGTACCTTCAGCGCGCCGAAGAAGCCCGACAACTTGCGCGTCTCCGTATCAAGAATCAACAGACGACCGACAGCCACCGTTACAACCTTCGACGACGCTTCGTGGAATACCAGCCCGGTGAACGTGTTTGGGTGTGGACGCCGATACGCCGACGAGGTCTAAGTGAAAAGCTTCTGCGACGGTACTTCGGACCCTACAGGGTGGTTCGACGTCTCGGCCCACTTGATTACGAGGTTGTCCCCGACGGCATCACGAACTCTCAACGATGCCGATCGCGACCTGAAGTCGTCCATGTCGCGCGCCTCAAGCCGTTTCATGCGCGTTAACAAATTGAAACAGTGTTTTTTTGTATTATTGTTGTATCGTAATTTATTCATTGTACTTTCTTGCATTATTATTGTACCTTCATCTTTAGTTAAAGCATCGGGACGATGCCTTTTTTTCGGAGGGGGGCAATGCCACGTTCCATTTCCTAAGTTTTCGTTATCGTCCCAAAACACCACACGATTCTCAGCGCAAACCGCGCCTGCAGTTTTCGAGAAGGTTCCGGACTGTAGTCGATCATTTCGATAAGATCACGCCCACTGTGCGAACGGTACAGATTGTTCTGGAACCTACGCCACCGCCAGCGATAACGCTAGAACATTCAACGGCAAGAGTATGAATGCCGACGCGCTTCGCCGCTTGTCAGTTGTTGATCGAAGGCCGACGCTGCGTTCGCCGCTATCAGTCCGAGACTGCTATCTGTGCAAGACTGCTGCTGTGATTAGACTTTCCCTTCACCGGGCACAGGTTCGCCCAAATAAACAGTTAAATCCCAACACGAAGTTTCCTGTCTTTGGCCACGTCACGACCCCGTGACATTATTATTTATTTGTTTATCAAATACTGCAGGCCCATTCAGGGCCCAAGCAGGCGTGGATACAAACATTGGTAATAATACTAAATGGCATGCAATGATACAATGTGTCATGCTTGGCACATCTACAACACTAGATGCTTAAACGCCAACCATTGTTACAGCTGAATTTCGCTCCTATTGTTATGCAGCTGCCGTGAACAGTGAACGTAAGTGAAACCGACGCAGTCGAGTTTAGCAGCGCGACTACTTACGTGCGAAAGCTGCTCACGGGAGTGGTGCGGTATGGGTGAAAGAGGGGGATAACTCATTTTCAGTGACGAAGAGAGAAGCGTTATATCCAGAGTCAATAATTTTTTTTTCGCGGCATTGAAATAGGGTTGCAAGTATACGTACCAACGTGCTACCCACCTTAGAAACTTCTGTAGGCGGAATTAGCTGCAATCACTTCGCTATATTGATTAACAATATCGTTATAAACTATTTCATTACATCGAGGTTTGTTTGTAGTTCGCTGAAACACATATGTGTCATTCCAAGCGAAACGTTTCAGCTACGTTAGAGACAATTTCAATTGTATTCGAAAAAAAAAAACGTGCTGATTTATTCACTGAAAATACTAAATCGCTGAAATATTTTGAAGATGTTTTTGGTCACGTGGGAACCTGCTGCATTTCGCGAAATGTCGTCCGAGTGTTGGTTTCCAGAAAATTTATTATGAGAGTGCTGTTGTTCTTGTCAATACCACATATGGATTTGCGTGTTAAGAAAGGGCGTTTGTGTAAGGCGCGCGAAGATGAATAATATTACCGCAACTTTTATGCTATATTCGCCTCCAGAAAGTTCGCCACAACGTTCTATGTTTCATAATTTGCTATGTATGAATGGCTTAGTAATGAATACTTATTACACGAAAGGTATATATTGCGTTAAAAATGCTTTCAGACCTCTGAAGTTTCTCATATTTACAATAAACTTGAGAAACTTGAGAAAATTATTACTTTTCGTCACATTGAGACGTAATTTTTTGTTCCATATAAAAGAAAATCACTTTTGAAGTTCCCAATTGACGCTAACAGGGAACTTGAATGAAGAGGCTGCCATATTAGTAATATTGAAAGATTACCGTCAACGGGAAACTTGAAAAAAGAATTTGCTTCCTTAAAACAAAACAAAAAAATAACGAGTGCTCAAACAACTACAGTAAGTGTCACTTAAAAATCGTGGCATAATGGTGACATGTGAGTTTAATGCTTGGATGTCAGACGTCTTACCACTTGACGTTTTAATAATGGACTCAGTGGTTACAGTATTAGAAATATCGAAAGATTTCCGTTAGCTGCCATATTAAAAATATCGAAAGATTGCCGTCGACGGCATACTTGAAAAAATAAATTGCTTCCTTAAAACAAAAAAAAATATAATGTGTGTTCAAACAACTACAGTAAGTGTCGCTTGAGTATGGTGGCATAATGGGGACATGCGAGTTTATTGCTTTGATGTCAGGCGTCTTATAGCTTGACGTTTTAATAATGGACTCACTGGTTACAATATTCTGATAATAAACGGATCACGTCGTGTTACGCAATACGTACCTTAAGGAGCTCTACCTACCATGTTGGAATTGTCGAGGGGGCCGAAACTGTTCACCCAGATCTCAACCTCCACCATCGTTGGCTCGTCTGTAACCCAAGCGATGCGCTTTATTATCTATCCCCTTCGGCCATGACTTACACAATTGTGCACGCGAACTTCGAAGGCACGTCACATGGTGTGTGTTTCTTCAAATGGCTTGAAACTCGGTGTGCGCATTCCTGTAGGCATCCTGAGTAGACAAGTAATAGTATTTTAATTTCATTTTGCTGCATATTGCTGCAGACGATTACTTTGCTCGAGAAACTACCATGTCCGACGATCGTTCGACGGGTCGTGTTCCAGGAGCAACGTGAAAAGATTTTTTTCCTGTTCTCGCCTTCAGTACAAAAAAAAAAAAAAAAAAATTCCACATGCATTTCTGGTGAAATAGTTGGTTATTTTTATGCAATTACTGAAGCTGACTGGTGGCAGAGTAGTAAGATAATTAGATACACATTACTTAGCTTTTAATACTGAAACTCATACAAAACATTACATTGCTTCATTTTATTTCTTGGAATGTAATGCTTACTGCTTTGAAATTATGCGGCACGAATTTCACGCGTTTTGACAATCCAGCTTAATGCGTGACTGTTCCGAAGAATTCTAACTGCACCGTGCAATATACTTATGAAGCTTCCAGTGAAGGCAGCTGCCGCTACGGGCAAGTGAATTTAGTAACGAAACTGAACCTATACGTATTACGGGCTCGCTTACGGTGAGTTGTAGCTTAGCAGATTTTTAGCAGGCTGAACATATTCCGCATGACGCTTAGGGAGTCCAGAGCCCTGGTCACATTTGCATGCATCTGTCTAAGTCGGATCGAGTAGGCTCGTGAACCAGACGTGACTTTTCTCGTTTTCCGTCGATAACTTAGTGGCCGAAGAAAAGCAAGAACTGAAGTGATTTTGGTGAAGGCTGCTCGTGAGCGTTGAATCGATTCGCTCCACCGGGTAACCCTGTAGTCATAGTGCATGATAACTATAGACACTTTCGAGTATTTCTCAGTCGTCTCGACTTCTGACTCGCGAAGTTCATGTAAAAGAATCTATATGCATCAAATAATCTGATCATGGCACCAGCTATAGTTCAAAACAATATGAACGAAGTGCATGAGCATTGTTACAGTTGTTAACTATCACGTCATGCTGATAGATGCAAAGAAAGGGGTAGTGATTCATGCATATACAAAAATTACGGAAACATTCTGCTTCATTGGATGCGCGGGGAGGCATAGTTTTGGAAAACCTTATAGTTGGGGAAAGAGCTAAAAGCAAACCTGCATAAAACAGTGATGTCCAAATGCGTGTGTGGCCATGTTTAAACAGTTGCCCCGCCATGGTGGTCTAGTGGCTATGGTACTCGGCTGCTGACCCGCAGGTCGCAGGATTCAATCCCGGCAGCGGCGGCTGCATTTTCTATGGAGGCGAAAATGCTGTAAGCCCGTGTGCTCAGATTTGGATGCACGTTAAAAAACCCCAGGTTGTCGAAATTTCCGGAACCCTCCACTACGGCGTCTCTGATAATCATATGGTGGTTTCGGGACACTAAATCACACATATCAATCAATGTTTAAACTGTCCAATAAGATCTTCCTAAAGAAAACTACGCACTTCGGAAAGCGGAAAGATTCCCGTAGTAAAACTCACTTACCGGTTCCGTACGTCGGCCACAGTCGTTTATCGTAGTCGGCCAGCATGTCGTCAATAAAACTCATGTTCTTGCTTGGAACTTGCTCTGGTATCAATAAAATCTCTGCAATAACATTGCTGAAAAGAAAATCATGAGTGACACGACCCAAATTTCTTGCGTTTCGCGTAGGCACTGCTAGTGCAGTAAAGGCTAGCCTATCCTTCTTTCTATGCTTGCTTCGTAGTTATTTAACAGCGTGAATTTCTGCCAGTAATTTCATCGCGTTTCATTACTGGTGGCATCCTCTCTTTGAAAAATAAGTTACGAATCTCTACTCACAACGTCACGATGTTGCTTTGCGTATGAACAGTCCTGTTTAGTTTGGTCACGTTAATCACATGTACAAATTACAGTCTTTCATCGTGAAAAAAAAAGGACGGTGATTCGCTTACTCTCCAAGGCGTGCGTTTGATGGTCTTGGGGCTGCTAATGCAAGCAGTGTTGCCAGTATATTGCTTGCAACTCTGCTTCGGCGTTCCATGACTTCTATAGGTAGAATTCGACGCGCGGCTTTAAGTCGCATTTCATCACCACTTCATTCTCTAATGCACTGTGGCAGTTCTGTCCTTGTCTCCTTATACGTACGTGGTTCTAGAATGCTATGAATAAAAAAACAACAACCGCAAACCAGAGCTGCCTCACTGTGGCAAGGTTGTCAGTCAATGCGCTCGCACAAACGACGGAAGAAGGCATCGACATCGGTCGTTATAAGTGTTTCAAGGATGTCAGAGAGGCGACTCGGGCGAGTGTCTATGTTTTGTTTGTTTCTGTACGTATAGGAGGCAGAAAGATGGGTGGGCAGATTAACTCAAGAGCTTCGCACGAATAAAGTCGCTGCAGGAAGCACGGGGCCTTGTTAACTGGTGAAAAGTGGGAGAGTTCGCTGACCTGCAGTTGTACTCATCTTGATGCAAAGTAGAAGGATGCTAATATTTTAACTTTCAATGACGTTTTTTAGCTACAGCGGTGGTCTTGAAATGGGTGGTATGTCTAGTCGGTGATTTCACCCGCACAAACAACTGCAATCATACGCCAGTGATGTCATCCGACAATGTTCTAGCTTTAAGGATAAGTTGATGCATGTCTGGAGAAGTAAGGGAATACTGCTGCAACTATGCCTTCTACGAAACTTCTCATGGTATTGTCACCACATGATAAGTGGTGACCATTCACCATAATCATATCAAGTCAAATCAACTAATAATCATAACCAAAGATTCACTATATGAGAGAGAGAGAAAATTTAATGCGGAAAGGCAGGGAGGTTAACCAGAAAACATATCCGGTTTGCTACCCTGCACTGGGGAAGGGGTAAGGGGAGACAAGAAAAAAAAGGGGAAAGGGGGGAAGAGAAGCACAAACACACACACACACACTCGCACACAGTAGTGTCACAATCGTTCAACGAGGCGGGTCGCTCGTAGAAACTTCATCAGCGCCTTCGTTGCTTTCTGGCGTGAAGCTCGATCTTTCCGACATTCCAAGATTGACTGTTCAGAAAATGGCTGGTCGTCGAGGCGAGCAAACACTGCTGAGAGGGACTGTCGCTGAGAGCTGTACTGGGGGCACTGACATAAAATATGTTCAATTGTTTCGTCATTGTCGCAATGGTCGCATGTAGCGCTGTCTCTCATTCCGATGCGGCAGGTAAAAGCGTTCGTGAAAGACACCCCAAGCCACATACGGCAGAGAAGGGTCGTCTCGGATCGGGGTAGGCCAGATGGAATAGTAAGTCGTAGGTATGGGTCCAGGCGGTGAAGACGGGTGTGGAGAAAACCGGGCGTATTCCACATAGACCTTGCGACATCCTGCGCAAGCGTATTAATCTTTGCTGCTGCGTCGCTTCTTGATAGTGGAATAGGTTCCATCACTCCATTTTCGTGTGCATTCTTAGCTGCATTGTCGGCATGTTCGTTACCGATGATGCCGCAATGGCCTGGTAACCACTGAAAAGGTATGTCATGTCCTTCGTCTTTTAGGTGATGGTACAGTTGTCGTATTTCGAGCGCCAATTGGTCTTGAGGTCCACGACGTAGAGCATTTTGTAGACATTGGAGAGCTGGTTTCGAATCAGTAAAAATGCTCCATTTTTGTGGTGTCTCTTGGTCAATCCTGCGGAGTGCGCTGCGGAGTGCCGCGAGCTCCACGGCTGTCGATGTCGTCTTGTGTGACGTTCTGAACTGGATGGTTTCGGCTCTTGCTGGGAAGATCACAGCTCCTGCAGATCCTCCAACAGTTGTCGAGCCATCCGTGTAAAGTTTGACATGATCTTTGTATTCTTCGTGTAGCATGAGTAGAATCATCTGCTTTAAAGCTGGCGCCGAGAGCTCCGCCTTCTTGCGAATCCCCGGCACTGTCAAGCGCAGTTTTGGTCGGTCCAAGCACCAAGGAGGTGTTAGTATCCGTTCCGGAGGCGTGTAGACTGTTGGAAGGCACTCACGGAAAGTCAATACTCTCTTACAGAAGGAGGCACTCGGTCGATCTTCTGGAAGCGAAGCTAGGTGGTGGGCAGGGGTGCGAGCAAGGTGTCTAATATGAGCTCTAAGCACCTCCAAAGTAATGTGCACTGTGGCCGGATGATCTTTGGCGATTGCGATGGTTTCCGCTGTTGATGTACAGCGTGGTAATCCAAGACAAACTCTGAGTGCCTGGCCCTGGGCGTTTTCTATTGTGCGTATATTGCTTTTGCAAGCGTTCGTCAGAACCGGCAAGCTATACCGCAGGTACCCCAGAAACAGCGTTTTGTACAAATGCAACATCGCGTGCACTGATGTGCCCCACGTTTTGCCTCCGAGGAACTTGAAAAGTTGTGCGATGGCCGTTAGGCGCTTCTTTAGAGTGGCCACATGGGGACTCCAGCTGAGATTTCGATCGATCGTGACCCCCAAAAACCTGTGGGTCCTGGCGTAGCAGACACTGTGTCCATCGATGGCGATGGGATATGACGTCATTGCCTTCCGCGTGAACGCGACCAGCGCCGATTTCTCAGGAGAAATCTCGAGGCCTTGTTCTCTAAGGTACGCCGATATTGAATTCGCTGCTTTCTGGAGTCTCGCACGTACCTGAGGACGTGTTACACCTGATGTCCAGGCACAAATATCATCTGCATAGAGAGATATCTGCACGGAATCTGGTATGCGTTCAACGAGACCGATCAGAACCAGGTTGAACAGTGTGGGGCTCAATACACCACCTTGAGGAACACCACGGTGTGTATAATGTTCAGAAGTCGGCCCATCATCAGTTTGCATAAACAATGATCTCATATGTAGGTAGCATTGGATCCAGCGGTACACTCGCCCACCCAAACCAACTGACTCGAGGGCGTCAAGTATGGCTTCGTG